TTTGAACATACGCTTTGGTGGATTTCAATAAACATCAATAAATTTTTGAAGTCTTACATTTACAAAGCACCTAAATGTGTGCTTTGAGTGATTGTGATTGTTCATTTAAATGCAGTTTCCTTAAGATATTTTTAAGAATCGGCATCCCACTGTCTCCATGAAGCCTGTCTAGACTCCAGGGCACACTGTGCAGGTCTTGGAGTGCCAGCTGTGTGTTCCTGCCAGTCCTCTGACCCTGAGCACAGGCTGCCTTCAGAGCCATCTGAACTCAGGCACAGGCCACTCTTTGCTAACCTGGCTGGGCATTTCTTCACAGACACTGTTTATTTCCAATATTTCACACTGCCTAATAGTGACCTACACACAGGCTGTGTGATTTCAGGCAAGTCACTTGACCTCTCTGTACACTCGTTTCCTTCTTTGTAATGGAGACTGGCAATACGTGCCTCACAGTATTGCTGAACAATTAATTACATGAGATAATGCATGGAAAGGGCCCAAAGCCGAAGCCAGTCAGCTTTCCACTCTAAGTGTGCTTTATTTATGTTTGGGGGCGGACCAAAGGGGCAGAGAGCCCTTGTCCATGGGACAAACTTCGTGTGGGATGAGAACACGAGGGAGCGAGGTGCAGTGGGTGAGATCGGTGCCTGGCTGCCTTCAGCCATGGCTCCTGGTCTGGGATCAGGGCGGTGAGACCAGACCTTTCAGTTACTGTAGTTATAACCTCTGGATTCAGGTGTTTCAGAAAATCCAGATTTCCACTTGGAGACATCCCGAATCCTCAAGCCAAAACGCATCCACACGGAGAAGTATGTGGTTCCTGGGCTGGGAGGGGAGCTGCCTCTGGCCCAAAGCCTCTCCACAGGGAGCCTCTGTGCCCTTCATTGTGTGAGCTGCTGCTTCTTACACAGGATCCCGTGTCTTTAATAAAAAGCATCTTTGCATATCTAAAATAGGCTACATTCTCACAGCTTTAAACATTCCCAAAGGAAGGTCACCAACCAATTAATGAGGTGGAAGGGAAAGAGCACCCATGAAAATGACATCCCTCTCTGCTAAGGCCACTTGGGTCTAATCTGAAGTCGTCCCCAGAATTCACAAAAGTCCTGCTGGAATCTGACTCCTTTCTGTATGTCCTGATCTTTCCAGACTGTAAACCACAGGATCATGAGCTGAGTGTAAGGCTGGGCCAGGTGTCAACCAACCCGTATCCTAGGAAACACGCTCAGTGGGGAATCACGTTTTTGTTTTGCAGACTCGCTCGCCTTGCTGTGGGACCCACCGCCAGTGAAGCCTCGTTCTCCGGACTTCCTCACTGAAGACCTCCGATCTGGGTATTGAGAATGAAGAGATAATATGCACATGAGAGAGGAGAGATGAGTGTTACTGTATATGCGCACACACATATGCGCACTCACAGGACTGGAGATGGTGGGTGTGGATAGACATGGCTGGATGGCTGACCCAACTGTGGCATGTTCTCAAAGGTTCACAGATAGGTCACAAAGAGGAAAAGGAGCATCATCTCTCCATGATGAAAGGCCTGACTAGACCTTTCCCCTCTCACTAAGTTGTCTTATGTCAATTAAACCTTCAGCCACCACGTCATGGGTCATCTCACTGCCACCCACCATGTAAGCTGTGGTCTGGTCCCAACGGAAGCAGAAGTTCAATCAAGCTCGATGAATGAGGAAATAACCTCAAAAACAGCAGCAGCAGGGCGGCATCACACACCGGTGTCCCAGCGGAGGACAGCGTGAGGCCTCCCTGGCAGGTCCCAGTCACAGGAGCCCTCAGTGCCACTAATTGTATTAGTACCACATCAGGCTTCAGGCAGGGCTGCATGGCACAGGGCGCGGGGCCTCACACCTCTAAGTCAGGAGTTCTGGGTGAGGCCTGAGACTGCATGTAACTGGTTCCCGGGAGCTGCTGGCGGGGCCCACACTCAGACTCCCTCCACCTGGCAAGCAGAGGCAGCGCGCAGTCAGTCATTCTGCTTGGGGTAGCACATCCAGCCGCTAGTGTGTCCCAATTTGGTGCAGAGAAATGGGAAAAGGATAATGGTCAAAAAGATATGAGCTAAAAATAAATCAGAAAAGTGACACGTAATTGCGATAATTTTATTTTTAAGAAGAAAACCATATTATTTAATCAATATTTCCAACCTATAAATGTTGACTGTGACTAGTGTTCTCTATAAGCTCCACGGTCTGGGCCAAGATAAACAGAATTAGAGTGTAACGAGAAAGACTGAGATTAGGGGTATTAACACTCTGCTAAGCATTGAGGGAGAGTGTAGTACCATAGTTTCAAAGATAAGTCTGATTTAGATTCAATGTAAGAAATCCCACTCTTAAAGTTCTCACCCAGTTGTGAGATTCTGTACTCTCCAAGAGCACGTCTGCTCTCAGTCCAACGGGCCCTGGGAGAAGTAAGTTATGGCTGGGTCACAGCCACTTTCCCATGGGTCTTAGCGAGCGGCCACGATGCCCATGAGACAGGCCGGCCTGCCTTCTCGTGTGGAGGGTTTGTGTTCGCACCAACCCACACAAGATCCTGTGCTGTCAGGTGAGAAGCACAAGCCCGAGCCTTTGGGAAAATGTCAGTGAGATGTTCTTTTATCTTTAGAAATATTCGGATAGTCGATTCCAGGGCAATCTGGGCCCTAGGAAATGTTTTAATTTCTACTCCAAAGTTATTTTCAGCTGAACGTTTGTTCACAGGTGTTTGATGTGACTATTTGAATTTTTATGATTAAAAATGTCCTAGATTTCTTCTGTATGTGTTATATTATGGAGATATTTAAGTTACACATTAAAATCACTTCACCTATGTACTTTAACAAATTTCTATTGGATAAAAAAATGCTCTTGCCTCCTTGGGAAGAAAATAAGTACAGTGGATGTAATGACTGTTGTAATATTATTATTAACCCTATTTTTAATGCTGAAAATTTCACAAAAGATTACAGGTAAATGTCAAAACTAAGGTGAGATATTTTAAAATTTCTCTAATGCACCTGGCTAGGAAAAGGTTGCTTTAGAATGAATTCAGTTGAATTTTAGAACACAGAGAACAAAAATTTTCATCTCCATGATCTCAAGATAAATTCATGCAACCACTTGCGGCCCCCTAAATACAAGCCAACTGTCCCGTAGGCTTTAGCTGAGTTTCTACTGGAAATAACAGAAATACATCACAGAGAAACTTTTTCTTTTTTGAAAAAAGGAGGTGAACATTTATCTCTAGGTGTACTCACACAGGCATATAGAAACACACACACACACACACACACACACACGCGCGCGCGCATGTATACACACACACACATCATTTCCAAGAGGATTGCCTTAAGATAATGGTGATTAGGATTTTAAAAGTGAGAACATAAGCATAGAATAAATATATTTATAGATCTCAGGCAGTCAATCGATGTTCTCACATCGATGTTTCTCTCTCTCTCCCTCTCTCTCCCTTCCTCTCTAAAACAATCAGTAAAAACAAATCCCCTGTAAGGATTAAAAAAAAAAAAATAGGGGTAAAAAGCAACCACTTAACTAGTATGTATCAGATCATTACATACTGATGAACATGTGTGATATAAAGTTTAACATAATAAATGAAGGAAAAATCACTGTATAATAAAAGTGCCTTCATCTTTTCACACTAAAAGATTGCACTGTTCCACGGGGTTGATCTTTTCTACAGAGGGGTAAATACTTAGTGAAGAAGAGGATGCTAAGAACAGACCTTTTCCATGTAGGACCACATCACTTGTAATTTTAAACAAGAAGCTTTATGTGTTAATTGTAGAACTAAAAAGTAGTAACAGTAACATGTCATAAATCACTTCCCTCCACCCTCACAGTGAGGGAGCAAGGCAGCAGTGCGCAAAAGGAGGCAGGTATAGACGCTGGAAAACCTGCGTTCACATCCTGGCTCTCCCCTTAAAGCTGGGGTCTCAGACACATTTCTTAGCCTCTCTTAGCCCGAGTTGTCTTGCCTATAATAGTGTGTTTTTGTGAATAAAGTAACAGCAGGTAAAACACCCAGCATGGAGCTTGACACAAATGTGGTAAAAAATAAAAATAAAAATAAAAATAGCACATTATTATCATTATAATGAGAAACCACCTTTTTTTTTTTTTTTTTTTTAAAAAAAATGATTTTAGAGACAGGAAGAGAGAGAGAGAAAGAGAAAGAGAGAGAGAGAGGGAGAGATAGAGGGAGGGAGGGAGGGAGGGAGAGAGAGAGAGAGAGAGAGAGAGAGAGAGAGAGAATGCAACAGATTTGTTGTTCCACTTATTTATAAATGTATTCATTGATTGGTTGATTCTTGTATGTGCCCAGACCAAGGATTGAACCCGCAACCTTGGGGTATTGGGACAATGCTCTGAACAACTGAGCTAACCAGCCAAGGCGAGAGAGACCCACCATTACTTCAAAACATCACTTATTGCTTTCAAGCCTCCTTCTGGATATTTCCAGCCCATGGCCAAACCAACTTACCTTAATTATTTCTGGCTTGGAGATGCTATTGACTCTAAGTGGTTAAAAACAGACTCATCATATTCAATCCACCAACTCAATCACATGCTGGAGAAAAAGTTCAAAGGCATCAGCTTGATTAGATGGATTGTAAGGTAATTTGCATTGAAAATCCTTTTCCATTTTTGAAATGTTTTAACCTTCCTCCTGCTTCCACAAGTAGCCTGAGGGAGGAGACACAGGTTCGAGTAGAGGACTTACTCATATTTGTGCTACATGAGAAGGGGCTTCGGGGAGATGGCATCATATGCATTTAGCCAGAAGGGTCCCGAGACCATGGGCAGAATATTGGGAACAAGCCAATGAGGTCAATGTTCCCCAGGGGCTGTTACGCCGGCCTCATGGCCTGCTGATGGTATAGACACAGCTGTCAGTCCCTGGCCCGTGGAGGAAAGGTGTCCAAAAACACTTGTCTGCTAACAGAAATGATGCTCAGACACAATGGTTTATAATATGTTTAAAGTCAGGTCTTCTGTGTAATTTCCTCATGAAATCCTTGCTCTTTGAAAACAGGCAATACAATTTTTATTGCATTTAAGTTGGTTTTTTGGTGAAAAGAAGAAAAAAGTTGAAACTTAACTTTTTATGAAGAGCCACTGGTGAACTTACATGATATGTCACAATTAGATATGGGTGTTATGCACTCATAAACAAAATAATAATTAAAAAAGGAGACCACCTGTTTCAAATGTATTTTACACCATTGACAATATGAACCATAAATGTGTGGTCTATAATATTTAATTCTATTTGTCTCAATCAAGAAAAACTATTAACTCAGTCTTAGATGAAGATAGGAAAAGTGATGTTTTTCATATTATAAAAAGTGATAGCTTTTTCATATTTCAAAAGTGATAGCTTTGCATTGATTTTTATTTCAGAATATACTGAAATATATTTAACCTACTTTCAAGAGATATTATTAATTTTTTCATTTTGTTTCCTAAAAACAATAAGACTGTGGCTTAAGAAACTACAAGGTGAATCCAACTTCCTATGTAAATAAAAACAAATTTCATAATTCACTTTTAAAGGATATACTAAAAACCTATGTTGAAAAATGATGCATTTGATTCTGGATTTACATGACAACATTTGAAACAAGTGGTCTAGCTAATACAGGCAACCATGCAGAAATGGTTACAACATTCACAGAAATACCAGAGTAATTCTTGTCAACAGTGACTACTGAAGGTGAAGAAAGAATGAATAAGAATGGGTTCACAGTTTCAGTGTTGGTAACTTATTATTGAGTTCATGTTTACAAAATCAGGTTTCTTCCCAGCAAAAGCATGTAAAATATTTTCACTGGCACAAAAGAGACTGTATTCTGTTAGATACATGTAGTATTGAAAATCCACCTTGACATTAAAAAAAAGTCTAGAAAGAGTAACTGCATTTTCCTCAGTAACTCGGTTTTATTATATTTTAAAGTCCAGGTAAGAACTCTGGGATCAGTTTATTTTCTATAACACCATGGCCTTTTTGACCCATCATCAACCTTCCAAACAAAATATAAATAAAGAAGACCCTCCAAATAAAATATAAAACAAACCCCCCATTCCTAAACAACAACAAAATGTTGAGCAAACAACTCAACAATTTTTTAAAAAGTGTGAAGACACTGGTAACGTTATTTTCACTCCAATCACTTAACTGATCTGAATGAAGGGATCACGAATGCTAAGTGTTTCTGTGGCTCCCAGCGAATCCAACGTAAAGAATCGAAGGAAAGCTCTGGGCCGTGGGCCAGGCAGTGGAAGTGCTCGGTAGATGCAGCATTGGGTGAGCAGCACCCTGTCGCTGGAAAGCTGCTACACGTCGCTGGGGGACCGCGTTCGCTGGGAGAGGCTAGAGGGGATGCAGCCGCAGCAAATGAGGCAGAGGGCTTTCTGGATCTCTTGGTTCCTGAAGGCATAGATGACAGGGTTGATGATGGAATTGTAGGTGGCGGGCAGGAGGGTGGCGTAGGTGTAGATGGTGGGGTAGGTGTAGTCAGCTATCAAGGAATAGAGGGTAAAAGGCATCCAGCAAGCAGCAAAGGTGCCCAGGATGAGGGCCAGGGTGGAGACCCCTCTGCGGGTGGTCACGTAGTGCGAGGTGGCCAGGAAGTGGTGCTGCAGGGCTATCTGGTGGGCGTGCCGCATGACGATCTTGCAGATCTGGATGTAGAGCTGAAGCATGAGCGCGAACATGAAGAGGAAGGAGATGGAGAGGACCGCCGTGTTGTTCTTGGTGAGAGGCCGGACCACGCTGCAGGTGGACTCGTCTCTGAGGCAGTTCCAGCCCAGGATGGGCAGCAGCCCCAGGCAGATGGAGGTCCCCCAGAGCATGACAAGCATGACATAGGTGAAAGTGACCGTCCTCTCTGAATGGTATGTCAGAGCATAGTACAGGGAGAGATAGCGGTCAACAGTGATGGCCAGCAAGCTGCAGACGGAGGCAGAGAAAGAGGCCACAATGAGTCCTATGGTGACCAGCCTGGTGGCTTCCGACTGAAGCAGGTAGGCAAAAGCAAAATTGACGATGAGTCCGACGCCGGCCAGCAGGTCTGCCAGGGCCAGGCTGCCTATCAGCAGGAACATGGGTGCGCGGAGGCTGGGGTTGTGGAGGATGATAAGGACCACGATGGCGTTTTCACAGGAGATGAGCGTTCCTGAGGTGCACAAGACAATGTCCCAGGGGTTCACCACGAGCTCTGGCTCTGGCTCTGGCTCTACACCCGGAACCCGGGAGGAGGCGGCAGCTGAGACGTTCTCCACAGCAGCGCCGGCATCTAAGTAATCCCGGAGCCAGCCGCTGACATTGGCCTTCGGGTCTCCGTTCATTTTAACCCCTGTCTTCTTCAACAAAAAGACAGTCTTTTAATGGGCAGGCACAGCAGGGGGACAGTCCAAGATCATGCAAAACTGCACAGAAGGCCAGCCCCTCTCCACACACTGCTACCCAATGCCACGAGCTCCGGGATTTGAAGCTCACTATGAAACATGCCGTGTGGCGTTGGGGAAAACACAGGAAAGGACCTCAAAACACGGCTGCCAGCGAGGCGGGTCCCCAGGGGCGGCGCGGCGCCTGTGCTGAGTGCGGGAGACACGCCACCCGCTCCCGCAGCCCAGACCGCGCAGCTACTGGCCCTCTGGCTGCGGGAGCCCCGCACACCGCCCAGTCACAGCCCGGAGCCCGGCTCCTCCAAACGGGGTATTTGAATCGTCCGGCTCCATGGGGCTCCCACCCTCCCAAACACATCCCCGGGCGCGTGCACACGCTCACCCACACCCCAGCCGGAACAAAGAGGGGTCCCGGCTTCCCCCGTGTGCACACAAGGCCGGGGGAGAACTGGGGGTGCAGAGACAGACAGACAGACAGACAGACACACCGACCGACTGATGCTCAGACTTCGCAGCCTCTGCCCTAGTGGCGGGGACAGAGCGGGCGCTGGCCCGCGGCCCGCGGGGCGAGGGTCGTCCAGGAGGGTCACCTTGGCGCGCGCAGGCCGAGGGGCTCCTCCGGGGCGTGCGCGGCGCGGAGAGCGGGTGGCAGGCGGCGGCGGCGCGGGGCGGGGCGGCGGCCGCGGGGGAGGCGGCGGCCGGGGGCGCGGCGCCAGGTGAGCAGAGGCGCCAGGTGAGCGGGGAGCGGGGCCCGCGCACCCGCCTCCCCGCCCGCCCACCAGCCGGGCTCAAATGTGCCCGCCGGCGAGCCCGCCCGGCTCCGCGCCCGCACTGCGCGCTCCCGCACACCGGAGCCCGGGATGCAGGCGCGCGACCCCTCGGGCTGGAGGCGGCGTACCCCGTGCGAAGAGCGCCCCGCGCCGCCCTCAGGGAGGGAGAGGATGGATGTGAAGAAATGCGCCCTCACCCTCCCCGCCCGCCGCCCGCCGCCCGCATCCCGCTCCCGCAGGCGTCCCAGGCTCGCACGCACCGGGCGGGCGGGGGCGCGGGAGCGCAGCCTGGGAGCCGCCTGACCTATTTCATGCCTGAGGTCTCCCTGGAGAGTCCCAGTCTCCGGAGGCCACTTCTCCCCGCCTCTCCCTAAACTGCCACCTACATTCCCGGTCAAAAGAATGGCTTAGGGCGGTGTTCGGGATTCACAGCCGCGTTTGGGGTGCACAGGACGGAGAGGCAGAGCTTAAAGCAGCAAAATGCTCGGCCACCTATTCTAGAATTTCCCTTGACCACTCTGCATCCCCATTCCAAAGGGGTCTCCTTCGTAAGTGTGTCCTGGACCTGCTTCATTAGTCACTGTGCCCGGAACATTTGTCTAACTGGATATAGGGTGCGGCCATGGGCCTCATCCTTAGTACCATCAAATGGCACGTATTAAATGCTCCTCGAGCTGTGTTTTCGGGTGGAAATTATTTACTGAGTTCCTGCAGAAGCTTCCCGCCGATGCTGGCCCCAAACCAATTCATTTAGGCACTGGAGTAACAGTGCTAATTTATTCTTCCATTTTAACACATCGATTGGTTCTAAAATTAAGAACCTGATAGTGGGCTGCTCTTATGAGCCTATTTCTCCTCTGGAAAAAAAAAAAAAAAAAAAAAAGGACAACAAAAAACCACCACCACCACCAACAACAAAACAAGGCACCTAATAGATCTTAAATTTAAAGATGAGTTCCCAGTGTAAAGATGGGAGAAGGAAAAGGCATGATATTCTGGTCTTCCCCTGTCAGCAGTGAAGGTTTTTCCAACTACCTTTCTTCACACTCACTGAAGGGCTCCTGCACAGTAGAGATGGTCTGCAGGACACAGGACCCCAAACTCCTCCCCCTGGAGCTCACTGCCTTTCTTACCCCAGCCTTGCAGGCTCATCCACCTTAGCATCCCCTTCTCCCTTCTCCACACCTATCAATCAACTCTAGCTTCTGCAAGATCTCTTCGGGTCTCCTCTCCCTGCATGCTAGTTCACAACTACAAATCAGAGGCTTGGGGGTAGGGTCCAGATTCTGTGTTTGCAATCCTCTCTCCCAGTGATCATAATGATGCTGGCCCATGGGCCACACTTGGAGAAGCAAGATTCTATGGAGTTTTAAGAATAGCTTGTGCCTGATGGAGAGCCATCGGCCACCTGTACCTGTGGGGAACCATGCTAGTGCTGAGCCTGCCAATTCAGTAAGATGGGGGCTCTCTACTCACAGACACATGCAACCACAATGACACCAGGCAGCACATGCTGTAATAGAGGGATGTACATCTTCCTCTCCAGTGCTATGTGCTGAATCAAAGTACTTGTAGGAAATAGTGATGAGAAATAGCTGTTTAAAACACACCCAGCAGTTCCCGCACGCTGCAGTCCAAACTCCCCGCCAAAACATCAGGAGCCTCACAGGGCAGGCCGTTTAGGGAAAGCACCAGCCGGACCCTCTTCTAGTTGATAACACTGACACAGGCCCTGACCTGCAGAGCTCCCAGTAGTGAATTTATTCCCTGTTTAATGTCTTTGGAAATAAGAAAGGGGCAAAGAACTGAGGGTTGGGCAAGTGGAAAGGTAGTGAGGTGGTGGCAGCGGTATGTGTGTTTCAGCAGTGAAACCCGGAAAGAGTTTAAGGAAGAAACAGGGCAATTGGCTGTGCATTCACAGTCCTGCTGTCCCCTTCCCTTTGAATGCTTACTTGTAACTAAAAGAATGCCAACTTCTACTGTACTCCTATGTCTGTATTCATTGGTGTATTTGTTTGGACTTTTGTGGCCAAGGGGCACAAACCCAATTCTAACTATCTCAATAGCTTAGGAAAACATGGGTGTTGTCTGGCATGGCTGGGAAGGACCCGTACAGTAATTCAAAGAGAAGAAGGAGAAGCTGTGGGAACAGATGTCTACCCGTGTGCTGAGACTCCCGGTCAGTCCCTGTCCCTGACATATTTCCTGTCTTTGCCAGCCTCAAACTGTCTTCTCCTAGTCAAGCATCTCTCATGCAGCCGTCAAATCAGCCCAGGCAGCCCCTGGTTTGCAGGTTGAGACAACTCCCTAGGTGGTAAGAGGAATTCCCAAAGAACTGGCCAGCCTGGGGTGGGCCCAGCCCCGAACCAGCCATGTGGCTAATGGGATGGGACGGATCAGTGGCCAGGCCTGAATTGTGCATATGCGTTTCCATCTGAACTTCACCGAATGGGCATTTCCCTAGAGGGAAAGGTGAAGTGGACACGGGGTGGAGAGAGACTGGGTGTCCTCCCAGCCTGGAATGTGGTGGGAAGACAGGTTTTCACGGCCTTCTGTAATGCAGTCAAGAAGTAGCTGTCTGCAAAGCTGCTTCTCAGTTTATTTACCACCATCACAGGATGCTATAGCAGATGCCTCAGTATGTGACATATATTGTCTTTTCATCACTTATCTTTTCTGTCACTTTTTAAAAATAATTTTGGCAAGAAATTGTAAACCTAAACCATTCAAGCATGATCTGGCATCTTCACAGCCTATACTATCAGTTACTGTTGTTAGGATAAAAGCTCTGTGCCCACCTTAATCTACACAGTATCTTCGCCAACCTCACCCGGTATCTGCATCTGCTAACCCCTCTTAGTAATTGAGTGTGTACGTCACGGGGCTGTCCAGGTTACTGGCTGGAGCAAGTCCGAACCCAAGCCAGTCCTGCTTGGTGTCCATGGTGTCAAAATGTTACTAGCCAGCTTCCTTCCTGCTTGTGGCGATGATTACCAGTCGGTTTTGCTCTATGTGTTTAATTGGTGTTCTGACCTGGATCAGATTGACCATACATTCTTCTGCCCAGCCAAGGGTCTTTGTCATGCCTGAGAGTAAATCATGACTCTAGGTTTAAAGGTAAAGTTTTAATAATTCTTTATCTTACAGAAAATTTTATTGCAGCAAGTGCCTATTTCAGAAGTATACAGTATGATGAAGTGACAACCGATAAATTTAGCCATCTCGAGAAATAGAACCTTACTGGCTTTTTCTTGCCCCCTCCTACTGTGTTTCCCCGAAAATAAGACATCTTCCGAAAATAAGACCTAGCGCATGGAAAGATAAGACATCCCCTGAAAATAAGACCTAGCACAACTTTGGGAGAAAAAATTAATATAAGGCACTGTCTTGTTTTCGGGGAAACAGGGTAGTTGTTATCCACATGGGGAGAGGAAAACCACTATTCAACATTCAAACACCATAGGTTAGATTTACCTGGGTTTGAACTTTACATAAGTGGAATCATACACCACCTACACTATTGTGCTGCCTTCTTTTTCTCACCATGATTTCTGTAAAGTTTCACCTTTTTAATTGCTATGTATTATTCTATTGTAGAATATGCCACAGTTTTTAATCCATCCTCATCCTATTCATTGACATGGGGTTGTTCTCTAGTTTTAACTATTAGGAATAAAATCACAAATATCTTTGTATATATTGTGTGATGTTCATCTCTATATATAAAAGCCTAAGTGACCATTGCAACCGAAACAACTGAATGGACAACTGAACAGCTGCCTGGGCAACAAGGGTGGGGGGGCTTAGTGAGGGATGACCAAATGACTGAGAGTGGGCTATGTGGGGCAACCAGGCCAGCAGGAGGGGGGCAGTAAGGAACAACCAGGCCAGTGGAGGGGTGCGGGGGGGAAGACCAGGCTGGCAGGGGAGGGAGGGGGAGGGAATGGGCTGATGTGGGTGACCAGGCTGGCAGGGGGCACAGTTGCGGGTGACCAGGCCATGAGGGGGGGGGGTGATCAGTTAGAGGTGATCAGGCAGGTAGGTGGGTGAGCAGTAAGGAGCCAGTGGTCCTGGATTGGAGAGGGTGAATTTCATGCACTGGGCCTCTAGTATGTGTATATTTCAGTTGGGCATGTCCCATAGGATGAAGACTTTCTCCATCAGAGTATATTTTCATGTTTAATTCTCTGTTAAAACAAACCTGGCTGCTATTTAAGGACACTGAGGTGCCTTCAAAAAAATCACAACACATCTGTCCTTTCCCCTTTATAAGTTCCTCTAAACTTTGAATAGAGGAGGGAGATATTTCATGGGAAAAACAAAGACATAAAGAAAGAAAGGGAACATCACTGAAAATGTTTAGTCTGAGAGTCTGTGAGAAAGGGGAGCTCCTTTGTCAGTGCCAACACTGCCTCATTTCTATATATGCTTTTGTGTTTTTAAAATTGTATTAAATATGTTCTCCTGACTATGAAATAATACATATTCAGTACAGAAATTCTGGAGCCTGCAGCTAAAAATAAAAAGTAAAACTACCTGTAGTCTCACTTCCATAGATAGCACTCGGAACTTCTGTTAATATACACTTTTAATGCGTTTATTTGGGATTTTTTTCTTTTGGCAGACTAAGTTACTTCCAGAAATATTTTATTCTCATTGTTGCACAGAGCTACAGTTTTTCCTTTTCTTTGGATCTGAGCTGCTGGCTGGTCTTGTCTCTGTGCCTTACGATGGTCCCAGGGATAATCCTAGTCACCTTGATGGTCACAGCCTCCTCCTCCTCCTCCCCTTCAAACCCCTGCTCTGGCCTTGCCTCCCTCTCTTCCCACTGCCTCGCAGTCCTTGTGGTTCACTAAATAATGGCCCCAAAGAGGTCCACGTCTTAATCTCTGGACCTGTGACTCTTCCTTACATGGCAAAAGG